AAATATATGGCATCATAAAAGGTTATTGATATTCAGGTGGCAACAACTTATCAGGAATACCAGCTTCTCAATGTAGTTCTTCACCTTTACAAAATAGGGTTCAGTTTTTATTTTTATTATTATTAAAATGAGACAATAGGAAGGGCTTAGCACTATCATAGGTGACAAAGAGACGTAACTTTTCGTCTATTAGTAACTGAAGTTTGGCAGACTTAATGCCGAGGTCTGGAAATTTAAAGAAGTAAATTTTGAAAGACTAGGTTGTTAATAGTCTGTGTTGACTATGAGATTATTTTAGAAATATCTGAGGTAACTGAAAAATTAGTTGTGCAAAATCCCAAGCTTGCTTTATTCTCCAGCCTTACTGATGATTGGTTTTTATTGTAAGTGTTGCCAACTCTTGCGATTTTATCCCATCTCACAAAATTTGATGTTTTCTTTAAAGATCCTGCTCCTAGAGTCAGGTGATTAGTTGGTTGCTTTTTTTAAAGCATACAAACTCTCCCAACCCCCTCCATGTTTCTAGCCCTAATAGTGGAAGAGAAGATCTTGAAATTATGAAACCTAAAGTCTCAAAAACCAGAAAGCAAATATAAAGATTTTTTGTTTGGCTTAAAAATTAGATTCTAAAGCAATCTCATTATATTTTATAAATTGAGGTTGGCAATACTGTTGTATGTTGTGAAAGTGACACCAGAGAATTAAACTCTCAACTTTTTTAGCCTCTTTAACAGAAAAATCATCTCTAGCAATAAATTTCAGGTATTTTAAAACCTGAATATGTCTGTTTTTTAATGTTTTTCAATGTTTTAATTTTTTAATGTTTTTTTTTAATTTACACTCGTTATCTTTATCTAGTTAGAGTTTTAGTGTTGTTCTGAATGTGAACATCCTTAATCTTACTGTCAACCTCACTAGATTGTTTTTGTTTTATATGCCACATTTTTATTGGTTGATACATTTATTATTTTATACAAAAAATATGATTTTTGACTCCAAGGAGTCAAATTTAATTTATTTGAGAAACAACTCTATAAAAACTAGATGTTGACTGCAGAAAAATGTCTCATCCAATGGACATTAGATGTAGAAATTAAAGAATTAAAATCAGATTACTGGTCGGCTAATCCAAATGTTCCTAATACAGAGATGGCTAACAGGAATCATGGAAGGGCCTGGGGATAGAGTCAGGGATACTATAGGTCTAGTAGATAGGGCACTAAACAGAGACTGAAGACCAAGGTTCTCTTCTTGGTTCTGCAACTAACCTGCTGTGTGATTTTGAGCAAGCACTCACCTCTTGGTGCCTATTTCCTTTTGCCTATCTGATCTATTTAGGTGGCAAACTCTTCAGGGCAGTGGCTGTCTCCTACTCTATGTGTATTCAGTGCCTAGCACAATGGAGCCCGATCTCAGTTGAGGCCTCCAGGCACTACTGTTATACAAATAATAAATAATTATAATGTTCCTCATCTTGCTCGTCCCACTTGGATTCATGGTAAGAGCTGTGTAATATGCTGATTTATGTAACATTCTTCCCCTTCAGTGCCAGAGTGGTGATGAGGGAAAGAGAGAGAGAGAATAACCCCCTCGCCCCAACCAATAAACTATCAGTGAGATTTACCATCTCACTGCACAACCTATCAACTCATTAGTAGAGTTGCTCAAAATATTTCATGGGGAAGTTCTCCTGCCCAAAAGTACACTTTTGACAAAGCTGATTTTTTTTTTTTTATGTGATGATTTAAATTTTTTGCCAGAAAATTTTAAAAAAAAAAAAAAAGTCACAGATTTAAAAAGTCATTTTGATTTTTTGAAATAGAAATGTTTTAAGTAAAAACAAAGTGAATTATTTTGTTTTGTTTCTCGAAATGTCAATTCACAAACAAGGTCTTGTATGGGTTTGAAACTTCTCAGGGGCAAACCAAAACACCTCAAAGAAAGATTTGTTTTTTCCAACTGAAATTTCACAGGGGAAAGGTTTCAGTTTTCCATGAATTCTGCTCATTAGTTAAGAACTTCCTTAAAACTAATCCACAGTCAGAGACTTGATTTGGCAGGTCTAATTTTTAAAGGCAGTGGCTCCTAGCTCTTCTGATGTAGTGTAGTTAGAGAGGTGTTTGCAGTAGGAGATGTTGGAATTTTGCAGTGTGAGAGACCTGAGGTACAGAGCAAAGGATGCAAGAAACACTTTGCCAGAATGTGACTTAGCTGCTTTTACACCAATCTGCCCAGTCTCCTATAGGTTTCAATGGGATTTTTGGTTTATGCTTCCAATTATGTGGTTTTAATTTTTTGCTCTCTCAAAGGTTTGGAAGAGACTGAAATAAAATATTTCATTCACAAAGCTCTGCCTTGAGCATATTTAAAGCTATGCCCCACATGCGGTGAGGCCAAAGCATATGCCACTGCTGAGCCAGGTGCATGGCTCCACCTCCCGCTGCCATGTGAAATGTTAGGATTAATCCAATGCATTTAAATCAGATTGCCGTAATACAGATTCACTGCAGTACGTTACATTGGAACAGGCAGTAACTTGTATTCCTAACACTGTTGGTCAGCATCTTGCATGTGGCCTCCCAAGTGTTCATTTTCAATATTTTCAGTGTGCCTACTTCTCAATTGAAAGTGTCCCTTCGGCTTACGTAGCAGTAACTTTCCTGGAGTGAGCAAACGGAGGTGGATTTATCTGTTCTGCACCTGTGCTGAGGAGAGAGAGACATAGCTCACTGGGATGAAGAGATGAAAGAGAGAATATTTGAAGTCATCCATGTTCAGGAATGCTCAGCAGGTGGCAGAAAGACAGACATGGCTCAGTAGGGTTTTTATAAGGGCAGCAGAATGCACAGTACAGCAAGAATTAATGGCATAAGCAAGGAGACAGAGGCAGTGGCCCCCAATACCAAATTAAATCTTATGCTGGATGATGGATTTTTCTGTATTGCTTTTCATGTATTTTTAAAGTTTTTAATGTAGAAATAAATAAATAAATATTGAAAGATGCTAATTTTCACTTTATAAAGTGAGGGCTGTTGCCCTATTATTACTAGTTATCTGTACTACGGTATTGAGGTATATTAGTGTGATAACATGTAGGCGCAGTACTTGGACCCCAGTACACAAGGAGTTAACACCAACTTCACTTTCCCTTCCCCTTGGAAAATCCTCCTGGGAAGGGCTGCTGGAAAAAGAGCAGAGGTGAATGTTTATGGGTCGGCCTGGGAACTGAGTGATTCCCCAAGGTTATTTTGCTTATGGAAACGTGCACTGATTTTTATCGACAGAGATTTGCTCCTGCTGATTCCTACTTGTTTAGTCCTGCTGTGATACCCGCAGCATACAATGGTGTTGTGTTTACAGCATATACACAGAGAAGTTAGTTAAAAAACAGAAATATTCTTGCTGGAAGGCTACAATGTAACACTGCTTTTTTTCCTTAGAAATCAGAACAATAATGCACAAGAACCCCCAAAGAGTGGGAGAAAACAGGCTGCTCCCTAAGGCAGAGAGAAACAACTCACCCCACCTTCCTTTAATTGGCTCTCTTCAGACTGACTCTGCTTGTATGCACCACACTTTGCAAGCAGGACTAGTATCTGCCCCTGCTTCCCCTTCCACACTCTTAAAGTGATAGCTTCCAATTCCAACACAGTCTTCCTTCCTGGAAGAAGCTAGTTTACAATAAGCAGTTTAATTTGGGTCAAATTCAGATGTTGGCTATTTTAATTAGGAGGGAATAATCTAGGGATAAAAAAATATATGCAGACTAAAACTTTGAAACTCGAGTGCCCAATAGAGCCTAGGCACTGAACTGAGAACCTGTGGCAGCTGTGAGGGCTCACTAAAAGTCAGGCTGCCTTTACTTAAGTCTCTAAATGTGGATTTAGGTGTCTAACTTTAGGTAGCCAAATTTGGAAATTTGTCCATAAATCCCAGACAAACCTTAGTTAAGACTGAGTTACTATTGGAAATATCACCCTTAAAAATTATGTTAAGAGAACACTGTGCAGCAGTTAAAAGAAACAAAATGTTTAAAAGTCAGGAAATTCATTGAAGATTCATTACCATCCTTAACTCTGACTCCTGTATCTCACCCTATGCCAGTTGCATTTTCTTTGTGGGCCACAGGCATCGCTACACCCACCTACTTTCTGTGTCTTGACTGTAAACAACACCCGTGTATGGGCTAGAGGCTCAATCCTCCCCCAGTTCAACCAGCAGTTCTGAACACAGACACCAATACACTTCTTACTATCTCATACAGGCCAGACGCACAACCCTCCCTCCACCCATTCTTCTGCTACAGACTAGAGCCTACATAATTTTGCACCTTACGTTTTAAAGCCCAGTAAGGTCTGAAGACCCCAATTTTACCCCATCCACCCTCCTGATACAGGCTAGAAAAGCTTCTGTAACTAGCCTATTCACCCTCCAAATAGGCGTCTGAGCCTCCAGATAAAGGCCAGAGATCCACCTTACTCCATATACCCTATACCTACTGGCCAGATTGCCAGGTAAACACAAGTGGGTGTGGAAATACTTTCTTCAGCCCCGGTCCTTTGGAAAGGCCCTACACCAATGTGTAGTTCCTGCTAGGCAGCTTCCTTATGCCCGCTGTCCATACACATTGCACTTCAGGTTGGTCACCAAGTAAAGTGAAATTGTGACGTGGGAAGAGGGGATTGAGGCTCACTCTTGGGGTCCATCTCCAGGTGTGACACAGTTGGGACACTGCATGATGTCCTAATAGCTGGTAAATTGTTGGTAGCAATCATCTATGCCATGCCTGTTGACATTAACACTCTAGTGCAGGGGTTTGATCCCAAGAAAGCAAGGATCCATCCTTACTCTGCCCCGGACAGCCTCTTGTGGTGTGGTGCAGAGATTCCCTCATACACCACGTCAGCCAAAAGGGACAAACTTGCTTCTGTGCTATTTATAATCTTCTTTTTACTTCAAACAACCGAATTACATTTGTTTTTTCCCCTTCTTTGTTACAGGTTGACAAAGTGTGTGGCCAGCCCCAAGAAAGAGAAGCAAAACCTTCACCAGATAATATAGTGCAAGCAAAGGACGCGTCTGAAATGCAGGCTCTCACGATGGCTCACTCTGCTAATCTAAACAATAAAAGGAGGTAACCCTATGTGAAACATATCTCTAAATGCATTGAAATAAACCTTATTCCTCATAGTTTGCACTAACTGTTTCTCATGCAGGAGTGTTTAAACCCAATTATGTCCTCTGATATCCACCCACAACAGCCCTAGGCTTTCCTCAGAGGCGGTGCTAGTCCATTGGGGGCCCTAAACAGGAATCTTTTTGGGGCTCCCCCCCACAACACATAATAAAAAGCAAATAAGGGGCCCACTTGAGCTGCTCGGGGGCCTAAGCAATTGCTTAGTCTGCTTAGGCCTAGCGCTGGCTCTAGCTTTGCTGGTAGTTGCGTAGATATATTTGAGGGAATAATTGGTCCTTGTAGTGCTTTCCAGTTGAAGCCTGACAGTATTTCTTGCAGGCCAGTCCTGATGTCATTACTCAGTATTGACTCAGTTTTTAATTTGGCAAACTCTTACTGTAAACAATGGGAGCTTTGCCAGAGTAAAAACTGGGTGACTTCAGCACATTACCCTATAGGAGTCTGTTTGCTCCAGGTCTTTAAGGACTATTGATATTGGGATGGATCATCCATGGGATGGGATGGGGCTGGGGCTGGGGGAGGGGGGAAGGGATGGGAGAGGGAGGGAATTTCCATGATGCAGAGTTATTCCCCTATTCTGTAGTGGAGGAAAGAATTTGGCATACCCATTCCTCTCTCAGTGGATTAGGCAGTGGGCTTCTGGTGAATTTTCAGGGATTAGAGCAAGGCCAGGTCCATCTGCACATAGGCCCTGTGCCTCCACATTGGCTCCAGCCTTCCAGCCACCTGTCAGTGCAGCTACAAAGGAGCTGTGCTACCAAGGTGTCCCTCTGCCATGGTTCTCCTGTGCCTAAATTACGTGGTGAGGAGAGGGAATTTTGTGATGTGCATCCTCTCTGGCCCCTCCTGGCCTATGCACTCCTGCCCGCAAGTTGCCTGGTCTTCACCCCCTCCTCCACATGGACCTTAGATTAGGGTTTGGGTGGGGAAGGAGGATGTGCCACCGAAGGGGGCGCGTCTCTCTGTGGAGTGTCTCTTCCATGTGTGGCTTAGGGAAGCTGATCCTACCTAGGGTACGTTTAAGTGAATTTCATTGTCAGTTTACAATAGAATTCCAATTGCTTATTACTGGCTAAGTTAAATCCTGCTACATCAGTATAAATCCGGAATAACTTCGCTGAAGTTAGTGGCGATGGCTCTGGATTTACACTGGTGTGACCGAGAGCAGAATTTGGCTTTATTCCACCTGGGTGCTTGCATAGATGAGTTCAGGCTGTAAGATTTTCACCCACATCTATTTTGATTCTTGTCCAATCCTACATGCATTCTGAAAACCAAATACACTGTTGTTGTTGTTTTGTTTTTTAAAGTTGTGACCACAGTGTACTTATCTATCACATTCTTCTGCAGTTTGCAACCAAAGCACAACAATTTGTGCTGGTGTTAATAGATTTTCATTGTACAACCTGCATGAGATATAAAAAGGCAAGCAGCATGGCTGGTAAAAAGTAAATTAGATTTTAAAATTTCAGTGGTAATAATCTGAAGTATAAACTGAAATACAGCTAACAGAATTTGTTTTTTAAATGTACGGGTCCGGTTCTGTCCCCAGTGAGATCTATCTCACTATCTTCACTCAGAATTGCATTTTAGCAGAATTGGCCTATGAGCCAGATCCTGAGCTGGTGTAAATGAGCAATGGAGTCACACCAATTTATACATCTGAGGATCTGGCCTGGGACTTTTAATTAACCAGAGAGCAGCTTTTTGATGTTTATTACTATAGATACCAAAGAAAATATAATAAAACTAATATGCCACTAATTATAAAATGTTGCCAAAAGCTGGTGTATGCATCATAACATCAACTGAGCAGAGCACATCCTTACATTTCACTGGTTAGTGTGATGTTGTATGGAAATGTTGTGAGAAAGGTGTGATGAAGAACCATCATACTAGGAGTTAATGTGTGAGCTGGTGTTGGTAAATATGTGGGGGATGGACTTATCTTTCTAAGACCTGTGGGAAAACGGGTTGCGTAAAATTTGTGCTTTGCTTTTGGAAATAACTGGAGAGCTATAAATATCAAGAAATATACAGTGATGGACTTACTATTCTTCATATGTCATTTAATCGCATATGTTATCAATAAAAAGCAATTTTAGCTAATATAAAATTTTATAACTGATATATGAAATCCTAAGTGCAGTGAGTTGTTAAAATATATTTAGACAGGCGGATATCTTAACTAGATTATGGAATTAATTAATTATAATACTATGTGGTGCCATGACTTCTGGGAATTTAGAATACAAGGAGCAAGATTTTCAGTTGTGTATTTAGGTACTAACTTGGTCCTCATAGCAGACCACAGTAACTAGTGGATTTTATCAAGACCCTGGGAGGTAGAGAAGTATTAGTCCCACTTTACAGAAAGGAATCTGAAGAACTGGGGAGATATAGTGATTCGCTGAGCCAGGAATACGATCCAGGTCTCCCGAGTCCCAGTCTATTGCTCAGCAAACGAGACTATCCTTCCTACTCATCCTGAATTCAATGGAGATACACCAGTGTACATCAGCTGTAGATCAGGCCCATAACCTTTTGCAGAATGATCCCGAGTTCAAAGAGAAGAATTAGTGTAGTTTACCACGTTTCTCTTCCCAACACACTGAGGGAACCACAGTGATCTCTGGTACAGCTCCTAATCAGACAGCCTGTATTTAAAAAAAATAGAGAGAGTGAGTGTCTAGCAGTTGTTTGCCTAGCCCACTATTCTGTAGTAAGCTCCACATGGGCACAGGGCTCTATCTACGCAGAGCCATATACAGAATCATGATTTTCAAAAGATGCTGCACCGCACACTCACTTCAGAGGGAGTTGAGTGTGTTCAGCACCTTTGAAAATCAGGCCATAAAATGATGAATGACTAGAGGATTGAGTGAACCTTTTTCCCGCTCTGTTCCTCTGAGACAGTTACTTATCAGCCTAGCTGCTCTGCCTTTCCATTCTCGTTCTGATAGGATCTGGTTGGGAGCAGGACCTTCTCAGTTCAACGTTCCTTTTCCTGGAACTCCCAGGCCTCGGGTGCTGTCCGCTCCTTGCTGCTTTATGATCCCTGAACGGGCCCTCTTGTGTGCCAGTGAAATACCTTGCTACGCTGTTCAAAGAATCTGTGACCATTTAAATTTAAGTTCCCTTTCCCCAGCTCTGGATATTTCCCCCTTCTTTCCCCATAAACTTCTCTTTTGTTTTTGTGTGCCCCATCTTCTTGTGTTTGTTCGGGGAGTGACTCTCTCTGCTTTGTTCTGTCTCTAGCTCCTCCTTTCTCATGCTCTACAGAGCTAGAAGCAGAACAGTGAGTTACCCAGCTCATCAGCCGTGACAGGTTGCTTATTGGTTGTCCCCATAACTTGTTCTTGTTGAGAGAAGAGGGTCAGTGGGTCAGTCTGCGCTGCTGTGGCTCTCTTAATGCAAACACATGCTGTTCCATGATTCTTCTCTCTCTCCACCCCAGCCCAGAGCCTGTTCCTGCTCTCTCCCTCCCACAGGGACCAATTCTGTGTAGCCTGTAACCTGCACACATCCTCTGTACTGATTCTTTTGCTTTAAATCCCACCACGACCTAAGCCTCAGCAGGCAGATGCACCCACAGCCTCTTCCTCTTCCTTGGGATTTCCCTATGACCAGTAAAGCAAACTACATTACATCAGATACCACAGTATGAGACCTCTGGCTAAACAGTACCTTTTAACAGGGGTCATACAACTTACACTACGTCAAGGTGAAAATAGCAAGTTTTATTGATACGGGTTTGACTTAGTGGTCCAAAGAGAGGTTTTCCAATAGAGTATCTACTGAAACTGCTTCAGATGCATGGAAAGTTCTGAAGACAAATATGTACAGTGTGGCAATCAAGAGCTTTGGAAAGAATACTAAGTCAACTGGTTCGTAGACCATTTGGAGATACTGTTGAGAGGAAAAGATCTGCCCTGATCACCTACAAGTCTACTCCTACTACTGATTCGCACAACAACCTAAAAGAAGCTCGTAAGGTTGTTCAAATAGTTTCCAGGAGGTGTGCTCAAGAATTTTGGCTGGGTCTCTGTGACAGCATCCAACAGGCGGCTGACGCAGGTGACAGTAGATGGTTATATGAGGGCATTAGATAGGCCATTAGTCCGATAAAGAACAAGACAGCTCCGCTTTAAGATCTGGATGGCAATATCATAGCTGATAAAGGGAAGCAACTGGAGAGGTGGATTGAGCATTATGGAATGATATACTCAAGGGAGTCTGTAGCAGACCACCGTGTGTTAGCGGCATTGCCTGAGTTTGAAGTTATGACTTTGCTGGATGCCAAACATACTCTAGAGGAACTTTGAATAAAGCATCAAAAAGATTCCCAACCACAAAGCTTCAGGATCTGACTGTTTACCTGCTGAAATCTATAAATGTGCAAACAAAGACTTGCTGCAAAGATTGCACAAGGTACTGCTACTCGATTGGAAGGAAGAAACTGTTCTGCAAGATTTTAAGGGTGCTCGTTTCATCCAACTCTATAAAATTTAAGGAGCCAGAAGTGATTGTAATAACCACAGAAGTATATCTCTTCTTAACATTGTGGGGAAAATCTTAAGCCGTATTCTTTTACCTAGACTTCAAACTTTAGCTGAGAGAATCTCTCCTGAGAGCCAGTGTGACTTCAGTTTGGGAAGGTCCACCATAGACATGGTCTTCTCTGTAAGACAACTGCAAGAAAAGTGCAGAGAGAAGCGTATTCCACTGTACATGGCTTTTATAGATTTAACAAAAGCCTTTAACATGGTTAGTTGGTCAGGGCTTTACAGTGTTCTGAAGAAGCTTACATAATGAAATCCTTACACAATGGCATGAAGGCAACTGTAATGTATGAAAACCAAAAGTCTGACTCGTTTAACATCAGTAATGGAATGAAGCAGGGTAGCATACAGGCTTCTACATTGTTTAATATTTACTTTTCTTTCCTGCTTCCACATGCATTCCGTGATGTTCAAGAGGGTGTCTATCTTAGCACCAGACATGATCGAGGTTGTTTAACATTGCAAGGTTCAGAGCTAAGATGAAGGTGAAGGAGATCATCATAAGGGACCTGTTTGCAGATGATGCCACCCTTGTGGCTCACAGTGTTTATGCCCTACAACATCTTATTACCAAGTTCTCTGAGTCATACAAAATCTTTGGGCTACCAATAAGCTTGAAGAAGGATATCATGCACCAAGGCTCTTCAGAACCAGTTCCAGATATCACCTTAGATGCTATTCATCTGGATGTTATTTACCAATTTTGCTACTTTGGCTCGACTGTTACCAGCAGTGTAGATCTTGATGCTGAGCTCACTAGTAGAATCAGCAAAGCATCCAAGAACTTTGATCTTTTGCAAGACAGAGCCTAGAACAATAATTGGATGATTGGAAAAGGAATGCAGAATGCTGCTCTGTTTGCTGGAGTCAGCTTGTAGATGGAGCAAGGCAGACTGGATCAAACTTTTGTGATGACCAGGGACAGAGGAGGAAAGAATCTGTTGCTTGGATTCAGATCATTGCTAGTGCATAGGTGTGCCCTACCTGTGGACTGGACTTTCACTCATGCATCGGACTCAGCAGTCATCAAAGAACTCATCAGCACATACACCATGCTCTGTAAAGAGCGACAGTGCCATTAATCTACTGAGGGATGCCAGTATACTGTAAAATAGAGTAGATGTTACTCAGTTAACTAATTCAAAATGCTGATACTCCATCCCTGATCTGGCAACCTACTCAAGTACATACTTAAGTTAAGCACAGGACTTCAGCAGGTGTCTAACTAGAAACATGTGCTTTAATCCCTTTGAGTGCAATGGGATTTAAAGATGTGTTTCGAGTTAAGCACATGTCTAAGTCCTATGCTGAATAGAGATGGACTGCTGAATTAAATCTTTAATCACATGCTCAGCTCTGGGGACTACTCATGTACTTAAAATTAAGCTCATGTTTTAAGTGCTCTCCTGATATAACATGTTTGTGTTTTGCTAAACTTTATCTCTCACTAAAATAGATTCCCTAATTCATCTGCATCTAAATTCAGTTCCTGCACCTTTTTTCTTAATTCTGCTAAATCTGTCTCCTTTGGGACAATGCACGATAACTGAAATTTGTACAAATACTGCATGGTCTTAGTAAATTTCTAACTCTGAATGTATTTACAACACTACAGCATGAAGAAGATTTATAGATTTAATTACCTTTTTTTTAATTGCACAACACTCTTCAGAGATTAACTGAAACTGGCAACATTGCTGTTGTAGTCATTTTTAACCTGGAGGTTACTGTAATGTATAGCAGGGATGTCAGGAAAAGTGAAGCTCCATGATGATGTAGGAATGCACACAGCATATATCTCAATCAGTAAATTGGGATTTTATTGCTGATTTCAGCACAAAACACTCTTCGGGCTTGGATCAGAACACTTGGCAAAGCCAAAATACCCTCCTTTAATATCTGTTCTGTAATATATTTTTCACTCCACTAAACACAAACTGGATACAGATCTACCTACAAATATAGAAATATATTCTGCTTAGCAAAGAAATAAAACACGGCATTTGGTCTCTGATTAGAGAAGGCAGCAGTTGAAATCTTACTATGTTAGGGTTTCATTGTTATTTTGTGACCTGGGGGTCTTTTATTCTTATTAAAATAATTAATTTTGAGTTTCTTAAGAAATGTATGAAATCAGTTCCACCTATTTGATTTGAATTAAATGTATCTGTTGGATCCAGCTGTAGGTGCTCGAATTTTATCAAAGAGGAAGTACAAAATACATTGTTAATGCCAACTGCAAATCAAATGGCTATGGAGAAGATTAAAACATTTCAGAGCAAGTGTTGGTAGTCTGACCCATGCACATAGTCCCCATTGGCCATTGTTGTTCCCCAGCATAAGGGCTGCTCTGTGTTTAGCTGGCCCTCTAGGAGCATCACCCCAGTGCAGGGGGGACCCTCTAGTGGCACAGCATGGAACTGGCGTAGCAGCACTCCCGTGCCACCATCCCTCCATGTGGTCAGAATGGGGGCATGGTGGGTTAACGAGGAAGTGGTCAGGGCATCTCCGCATGCTGACAATCCATGGGTGGTGTTATGGCTTTTCGGGGCCATTAGCAGCCTTAGTAATTTAGAGCAGCCTTCCTCTGCCATCTTATCCCCCAACACTCTGACTTCTTCTTTGTGCTGCTCAGTGCTGTTGAAAATATAGTCCATTTTCTTCAGTAAAGCATCACTAGGTATGTAAGGTGCACAATGGTCTGTGTTGCCTTTTACATGCATGTATAGCTCCCAACGAAGCCATTGCATTATGCAGAAGTATTGAGGGGAGATTAGCCATCCAGAGCCTGCTCTCACATTGACTACTCCTGATTTATTCTGATGTAAATGAGAGCGTAATCATGCTCCCCACCATACGTGAAATATTTAAGCCAAATATTTTTATACAGCTCAGGATGGCAGAACGACAAAACACATAGGTATGCTTGAATCTGGACTGCTAAAAGAGCCATTATCTTGTGGAAATGGGGGCTTTCCTAGAGTGATCTATTTGAGCTGTTTCCTCTGGTATGACCCTGTGATCTGGCTTTTCTACTTTGGAAGGTTCTTCTTATGCACATGAAGCGCTGTCTCATTCAATACTATCAGTTGTTGAGTCCCAGAACTGAACAGCACAAAAATCTGTACTTGCATAACCATGAAGAGATTAAACAAATTGCTCATTACCCTGAAAAACAGACTTTCCACTTGTACTCCCTTTTGTGTGGTGCACATTCAAAGCCATTTTTCCTATTGTTTTCTCATATACATGACAGCTGACCTGTATTTACAACTCATTCATTCTGTATATGGATATGGTAGATTTCAAGTCCATAGAATTTATTTTTAGCATGTTGTTGTATTTGCTGCATTTGTAATTGTAATTTTTGTTTGAAGCTATTTTAGGAAAAAGCTCTTCAACCACCAGCCTGTGATGTTTTTCAGTAATGCATTGACATATTTTTAATTGTAGTTATACTTTCGAAAATCTCATGATAGTTTTCCTCATTTGTTTTCTGAGATAATCCTATGCATGTGCTTGATGACCTTTTCTTTCAAATAATTTTTACTTTTTTCTTTGTTTCTCATTTCTTTCCCCCATTTGCCTGAATTCCTGCTTCTCCCCCCACCCCCAACCTCTTCTGATTGATGCTTATTCTCCCCGGCCTATTCCAGTTCTCTGCCTCTGAAAGCTTCAAAGAATGACAAATCCAGAAGTTTGAAAAAAATCTCTCGGTAAGAATGAAAACAAGGTGACATATTTTGTTGTCTCTTTGTGTAGATCATCCAAAATATAAGGCTCTTGGTTCCATTACCGACTCTGATCTAGGAAAGACAGACGTTTGAATACAGCTACTTTAGAAATCAATAATGGTTTATTATTGGAAAATACATTTTTCCTATTAAAATTTAAATAGTGTGCCTTTGTAAGAAATGAAAACAGTAGAAATCAACACACAATTTTACATTTGCTAAGATATTATTTTGAGACTTTGTATTTATGTATGTACATACATAACTGAAATCTTTCAAGAATACCAAAGGACTTTACAGCTTTGGGAAAACAGGGTAAGATGAACAGCACATTCTTAGAAGAGTGCACTTTGAGAGAACAGTGTGTTTGGTAGACTGACCAGCCTTAAAGCTAGGCATCTCTGCAACCTTCATAGAATGGATAGCCCTTAAGGTGATCCCATGGGGGCAGGTAGTGATGTATAAGTCATAGGTTTACTACTTAATTAATTACTGCACCAAGCAGAGAGAAAATTTGGGAGGGGGAGGAAAGAGAGAGGCAATGGTGCTCATTCCATGCTTGTGAACCCAGAGTGACTGCACAGTTCTGCTAAAATGACATGAATAGGGTCAATTCACACCTTCTTTAGGATCAAATAATGGCCCTCATGTTAAAACAACAACAGCTGTGTCCACACTAGGATTTAACCATGTGTTAATTACCACATAGTAGCTAAAACTTGGTGGTAAAACCCCTTATTACCTAATGAAAACAAGGCCTAAGAAGGACTAGAGGAAAAGGAATCCATCCTCCAAACCCATGGTTTGGCAGGAGTGGGTGTCTAGTGGCTCTGCTGTGTTTGCTACATCCTGGGGAGATGAGTATTGCTAAGGTCCCCCTTTGTCCCCAACATAGTAACAAATACGTTGACAACTCCCCTGCAGCACTCCCCACCATATCACCAAACCCCTCCTCCATGGACTGTCTCCCTATACAGCCTGCCCCCTGGAAGCAATTGAACCAGAATGGTTCCATTGCCTTTCCATACTGCAGTGTTGATGGCATGGGAGAGCAGGAATAGCAACAACTGACGTTTAGAGCTCTAGTTTCAGTCTTTGCTTCATGTCCAGAATAGTATCTTCATAGCACCAAGGCTTAGGACTAGTCTACTCTGGCAACGCTAAAGTGCTTCCGTGGCAGTGCTTTAACGTGCCTTGTGTGGTCACCAAAAAAAACCACGCCCAAGAGAGGTGTAGTTCCTGGTGCTGGGAGTGAGGCTCCCAGTGCTGGGGCACTGTTTACCTTGGCGCTTTACAGCGCTGCAATTTGCTATGCTCAGGAGGGTGTTTTTTCACCCCCCTGAGCGAGAAAGTTGCAGCGCTGTTTATTGCCAGTGTAGACAAGCCCTTAGACATCATGGGTACCAGTTAGGAGTACCTAAGGCTACAGAAATACTCCCCATAATCTCACTCCTTGGTATTCTAAATACAGAGAAGTACTCTGGTATCTGAGGTAAAACTGTGGTCATGTTGGTAAATATTTATTTTATATGGTCACCTCAGTAAGACATGTGTAATCATGTATTAGGACATCAGCTGGTTGTCCCTGGGAAGGAATTTTTCCTTCCATGCAACATCAGACAGCAGGCTATTTGCACTGTCCAGACTTTTTGTTTTTCCTCCAAAACATGAAGCACAGGCCATTACGGGCAGGGTGCCAGACTTGATGAGAGGGCGCATCCTATTTAAGACAAACCTGACATGGATGGCGATGGTGGAGTGGTGCTAATCCCCTCACAACTCAAGGAGGTTGGCTTTTCTACACTCGAATTGTATGCTTAAGTCACCTAATGGAGGATTTCATGGTTGGTTATAGGTAGCCTTTTCCATCCAGTAATAGCACTGACAGCATCTTAATTAATCTCCCCCTGGCTTGGGGGGAAGGTAAAAATATTGACTTTTAGTTATAGACAGAACACAACCATTTAACAGTAGACCCCCCCCCAATAATGTTTTCTTTGTTGATACAAAAGTTTTAAATGAAGAATTTTTCAATCCGTGTGGGATGCACTAATGCTGTTTGTTAACACTACCTTTTAAACACAATTTAATCTATTAATGCTGTGGTAAATAGGGACGGAGGATACATCAACAACAGGAATACACTTTAAGCAAGAGCAAATTAATTTTGCTAGATTTTTTCTTTTTGAAAGGGATGTAGACTTTTAATTTTACAGAACCATGAACCAAAGATTTAACTTACCCCAGGAATTCACCGCTCTGCTGTTAATTTCTTCTCTTCCTAATTTGTAGAGAGTTCATCAACTACATGAAACGATCCCGAACCTTTTATGCCTCTATAGCAGAAAGGCTGTGCGATGGGGACCTGGTGATGCGGGACAGCTCGACTTGCTGGAATGGAGAGGATGTTGTGGAAAGGTAATTGAGAGTCAAATTTTGTACTGAAGATGGACATATTTGGCTACACAAAACTGGCTTTCCAGATTCTCCTGGTGCTTTAAAAAGTGTTGTATTAGATATGACATTTCAAGACAATGCATCATATTACTTTATATACTATAAACAGTTTAATGACCTTCATGATCCTTAAATATCTGATCATTTTTAAACACATGAGATCACGCTAATGGGGTCTTCAAGTAGTGTTGTATAATCTCTATGGGGAAAAAAAGCATTTTGAATTATTATGAATTATACAGTGAACTGAAACATTTTCCAAAGAAGACTGAGTAACACTAATTTTGGGCCCACTTTTCACACACTGAAGCCCTACAGTAATTTGCTGACCCAGTCGCAGATCCTCCTTGCTGGGAGAATAAGGGTCATGCTTTTAACGGTAAGATGGGGACACTCTAGGTCCAGAAATACCAGATCATGCTGTTTTGATCTTTTTTCAACCTGCATACCAGTAAAGTTTTTCAGTGAGGCTAAGTTGGTTGCTTTGAGTTTTGAAAGTAAGAAGAAAGAAGGAAATGGAGCAGCTGTGTTATGTAGGTCATTCTGAGTGTGTAGACTCCTTTGTTTTATAAGCAAAATGGGAGGGCAAAGAGCATGTACCACAATTGTTAATTAGACTCCTAAAGTATGTCTACATGGCAATAAAACACCCAGAACTGGCTCAGCTCAGGTGTCTCAGACTCACAGGGCTCAGGCTGCAGGGCTGTAAAATTGCAGTGTAAACATTCAGGCTTGGGGTGGAGCCTGAGTTCTGAGACCCTCTGCCCTCATAGTATCCCAGGGTTCCAGAACGTCTACACCACCGTTTTATAGCCCCACAGCCCGAGCCCCACGAGCCTTAGTCCACTGACATGGGCCAGCTGTTGGTGTTTCATTGCAGTGTAGACATACCCCTAGGGTTTAATGAAGTTGATAGGGTAGGAATGGAACTTTCAGTTGGATGCTCTATTTCTCACCTTGGATCCTTTCATACCCAATCTGTCCCCTTCTGGTGACTAAGTATGTGCTGGTTTGACCTCTTAAATACTATGGCCCCTTGAGTTTGTGTAAAACAAAACAAAACAAAAAAGCCTTGTCAGCAGACAACAATATTCATTTCCTAGGCACAATAATTGCTGAAGTCTGCACTGGCTTCTAGGAAATGTTGGATCCAAGACTTTTGTTCACACTACAGAGAGGACATGAACACTTTTAGAGCTAATGAGGGTCCAGATGGAGGCCCCAACCCTGCAATATGTTGCGCCTAGTCAGATTGAAGCAGTTAGTGTTAATTGGAGCTTCCAGGGAATGCAGAGGGAAGAGCAGCTGCTTCATCACCCATGAAGAGAGTGAAGTGTCTGGCCCTCTTTGTGCTTGGCTAGTGCTACTGGTCAGTGTGTGTGTGTGTGTGTGTGTGTGTGTGTGTGTGTGTGTGTGTGTG